AACAACAGGGAAGTTGTGGATCTTACCAACCTGCTAACTCAATGTGCACAGGCCGTGGCAAGTTATGACCAACGAACTGCGAGTGAACTACTGAAGCAGATAAGGAAGCACTCTTCTCCCTATGGTGATGCAACCGAGAGATTATCTCATTACTTTGCTGATGGCCTTGAGGCGCGCTTGGCAGGAACCAGAACCCCATTATATTCGCCTCTTTTGAGTATACAGACACCAGTTGCTGAAATCTTAAAAGCCTACCAGATGTATGTTAAGTATTGCCCTTTCAAGCACATGTTACATTTCCTTTCCAACAGGACAATTATTAAACTAGCTGAAAAGGCAACAAGGCTTCACATTGTTGATTTTGGTATTTCGTATGGTTTCCAATGGCCCTGCCTTATCCAACGCCTCTCGGAGAGAAATGGTGGACCTCCTAATATTCGTTTGACAGCAATTGAGCTTCCCCAACCAGGTTTTCTTCCTACAGAAAGGGTTGAAGAGACGGGGCGTCGCTTGAAAAAATATGCTGCAAGATTTAATGTCCAGTTTGAGTACAAGGTCATTGCACAGAAATGGGAGACTATCCAACTTGAGGATCTTAAAATTGACAGAAATGAGCTAACTGTGGTTAACTGCATGCATCGGTTAAAGCACATACCTGATGAAACCGTGGTGGTGACCAGTCCTAGGGACATTGTCCTAAAGTTGATCAGAAAAATTAATCCAGACCTATTTATTCACGGAGTCGTCAACGGGGCATACAATTCACCCTTCTTTGTCACACGGTTCAAAGAGGCGCTCTACCACTTCTCTGCAATGTTTGATATGTTCGAGGCCACTATTCCTCGCGAAGATGAGCAGCGGCTGATGTTTGAAAAGGCAGTATATGGTAAAGACATAATGAATGTCGTTGCGTGTGAAGGACTGGAACGAGTTGAAAGGCCTGAGACATACAAGCAGTGGCAGGTTAGGTATCATCGGGCTGGGTTCAAGCAGGTGCCTTTAGACCAGGAACTCTTGAAGAGAGTGAAGATTATGCTGAAGGCAATGGATTATCATGATGATTTTCTAATAGATGAAGATGGCGAGTGGATGCTTCAGGGATGGAAAGGCAGAATCATCTTCGGTCTTGCTTTCTGGAAACCTGCTTAGGTGCTGGATCTCATGTTATCTAGGCTAGAGTTTTTAAGAGTCATGGATGACTATTACAATATGCAATCTTTTTGTTCTCTAGTTTTCAAGTTGTTTTTACTATACTGTTCTAAAAATTCTCGTTTAGTGTCACTTAGGCCCTACCTAAGCGCTTGGCGACTAGCCACCGTTTCAATTAATCCCTATACATTTAAAAATTAAGGAAGAGCGCCTAGGATTCCATCTAGACCCACCTAGGCGCCCATTTAGGTCGCAACTCTTAAATAGACAAAAAATAATTAACTATCATTTTGCATTTTATTTTTTCAATAAATTGTTAGAAACTTGTTGATTAATTAGATGAACACTCGTTCTCCATGTTTTCAATATATTTTAATACTTTATAATCTGTATGTCATTCAATTTTGGATAACTAAATTTAATTAAAATTAAATAAACAGCCTAGGCGGGAACGTCTTGCCCAGTACCAAACTAGCGCCTAGCGTCTTGTAGAATCTCATACACTATATGTAGTCATGGTTTATGATTTCATTTATTAAGTTTCCTTTATTCATTTCAGCTTCTTGACAAACAGCTCTCTTTAGTCCGGAAAACCCTCTAAGCGCGGTCACTTGGCTGCGGCAGCCTCATTGCAGATTATGCGCGCGATGTAACTTCTAACTCGTTAGTTACATAGGAAGCAGGGATTAAACTTGAAAAAATTTAATATGGCTTAACAGATTTAAGAACTTGAATTAACGAATCAAAGCGTGAAATGATGAACTCAAAACTTAAAATTATGCAGTGAAAATCATGAATTTACTTCAGACACACATTCGACTTGTAACCTTCAAGAAGCTAGCCGAAGAGGACTGTCACGAAGAACTCATTTAACCGCTGAACAAGTACCAGGCCATTTTGGACTGCTATGCATCATTGACAGTAAACCTAATATACAATGCATGCAATTCAAGTGAGAGAGAGAGAGAGAGAGAGAGAGAGAATTTGGACTAAACAACGCTTGAGGAACAAGGAGTGGACTCAGTCGAGCTTCAAGATTCTTATCTGGTGTTGCTGCTGCTATTTTGTTCCTTCTACTGTTGCCTTATTGTTCCTTCTACTGTTGCCTTATTGAGTCAAATGCCACAAAAAAAAATCTCCATGCATTGAGTCAAACCAAATAGGCAAAAAAAAAAAAATGAAAATCAAGGCTTTTCTCTGAAAAATTCAAGAGATTGTTCTGGTCCACATCACATTAAATTGGATGAATCTGAACCCACCTCAAAAAAAAAAAAAAAAAGTCAAAGGTTCAAGAGACTGTTCTGGTTGAAAAAAAATACCCCACCACATCTTCTGTGTTTCGGTTGAGATCCACATTTTGGATGAATCTGAGCCAGTTTATTAAAATGCAAGGACAAATTGAAATCCCTTTAATATTACTTTTCTCTCTCATCTTATGAATCAAGGGTTTGAATTGATTGGCGTCCTTGTTGCTGTAGTTAAAGGTAGCCGCCCCACTGCACCATATCATGGATAATGCACCAAAGTTTAGAAAAGTTTGGTACTATCTACACATCTTTTTTTTATCTTTTACATACACTTTTTAATTTTCAACCGTCGAATCAAATGAATTGAAGAAAATCAAATAATAAAAATAAATAGATGAATTGTGAAAAGTAAAAACGAGTGTATGGATAACACCATCCTAGAAAAAACCATCTTTGGTTTAGTAAAGCACATAGTTTATGCATGATTATATGAAACTAGAAACAGTCTTGCTAGACTGTTTGGCATCAGAAAATACTTATGTTACTAGACTATGAATTTGATATATTAATTAGGTTGATTCTTGTTTGAATATGTCATCTGCATTCATAATATGATATCATAAGCATCCACTACAGGTGTAAAAAGAGAGCTTTACCTTATATATTGGTTCTCCAAGTTGTGTCATGTGTCTCATAACCTCGTGGCTAGTGCAAAAAAAAAAAACCTCATACAATGTCCGTCTCTTCACCAGATTTTAGGGCATGTTTGGAAGAACATTTAACCAAATACAGTTGCTTATATCATATTTGACATAAATACACAACATGACACCGAATTTAAACTCACAGTACGATTTCACCAAAAAAAAAAAAAAGGAACTCACAGTACAACAATATAAACATTTGTATGAGAACGTAAGTTTAACAAGAAAACAATACCTTAATAATGATACTCCAAATTGTGTTATGTAGTGTGTCCATAGTCTCATAATGTGGCGTTGAAGTATTTACCCCTATAGTCAAAGCGTGTTTGGAAATACTTCTAGTTAAAAAACGATTGTTTATACCACGTTTGAAATAAATAGACAAACAAACCTTCTTCATGTTAAAACACTGTTTCTTCCAATAGAAACAAAAAAGAAAAAACACAGAAGAAAACAAAACAAAATCAATTCTTCTCGTGCAATAATCTTTGGTTCCCCACTTTTACACTTCACACATTGCATCCCGATGTATCTGGTTGTCCAAACCAAACAACTAGTTCAAAATTGTTTTTAACTACAAACGATATTCAACACTAAATTTATCATATGAGAAAGAAAAAGAAAATTCAAACTTAGAACGCAATAAGTTAAAGAAGAACTAACCACCACGACAATTCAGCACTTGCATCAGTTAGTCCAAGAAGCTTCTTTTTAATCAATCATCATAATACACAACATTATCGGTCCATTTAGTACTAAACAATGAAAGGTTTCTCCAATCAAGTGTAACCTTTTGCCTCTGGTGATGGCAATCAAAACTTAATATAATAAAGTAGTGAAAGCAAAAGCAAAAAGGAAATGGAATAATATTCCACTCTTAATATAAAAACAAGGAAATCAATTTTGTTTACTAAACTAATCCAATAATTGTAGGATTATCACTCATTAGTAACCGCTAATCCCTCATAGGGGTAGATTTGGCACCAAATAAGTCAAGCTGAGTTCTGAGTCAGGTTCACATAATCTGATCATGAACTGCTACTATACTCATATTTAATAAAGAATTATTCAACAGTGTTAAGAAAATATAATGCTTTTACATTTTGATAGGACATACACCAGAATCGATTATAAATTTTTAATCAAATATAGAATAGCACATAAAATAAAAAATGAACAGCACTAACAATGACCGAAGCACAAACAATAAATGATACTAATTCGTGATTTAGGTACAGGTTATTACCTGTTTAGTGACCTTCCAAGTTCTAGTTTCTATTAAATGTTTGTAATTAAGTTAAAAAGTGCTTCTTCTAGAAAACACTTCAAATGTATTTTTTAAATCCAACACAATTTTTTTCCCGCCAAACGCTACTAAGAACACTTTGGTAATTCAAAAACGCTTTTAGTTACTTTAAAATAACTTCCATGCAGGCCCGGTAATTTCCCTCCAACAAAATCGATCCATTCTGATGACATATATTAATCAATTTCCCATTTCCAGGAAGGTGTGATCAGATAGACTTTTGGTAGCAGATCAAGATTCTTTGTTCATAAGATTTATCATCATTCCTCTTTTAGTAGTTTTAGGATTTTTGAGAACTTCATCCAACATGATTGGTTGAAGCCCTGAAATATTTTAAGTTGGCTGCTATTGTAATAGAAGTGCAGGCTTAATTTGATCTTGTTCCAACCTTGAAGTCGCATTGCCTAAGATTTATGAGTGCTAAAGTCCAACCATTTTCATTTTGTATTTGTATAATTTAATTTCATTTTGTTTTAAGTTTTAAATATTAATTTATAAATTTTCGTTTCTGTTTTAGTTTCTTCTATTGTTTTACGAAGTTTATGTTGAAGTTTCTAATATATCCTGGATTTAACGGAAAGAAAGACTGATGTTAGTGAACATGGCCAATTGTGCCATACATTGTTAAATTCAGAGACAAAAGAAACTAATATGAGAGTTCACTGAACTATTGCTACAGATAAGCCTACAAGTATATAAAACTAGAAGTGTTCATACACTTCCTACTTTCTTCATCCGCTCAGATTTCTCATTTGCTTCTGAATCCCGTTAGATTATGGATACCCTTGAGGATGAACTTCCCAGTCCCATGAACAAATCCGTAATCGAGCAAGTCGACGACTCGAATGCGAATCCTGTTCATGAGTTTGGAGCCAGCCATGATTTCACTGATCACAATTTCTTCCCTGTCAATTCAGACCCTTCTGATAATTTACCCTCGTTGCCGGGCGTGAGCACGGAGGTGAATTTTCCGGAACGCAGTGAAGCATCCAATGCAATTCTCAAGTACATAAGTGAGATGCTTATGGAGGAGGAGGAATACTTGGTGAACAAGCCCTGCATGCTGCAGGAATGTTTGGCACTCCAAGCTGCCGAAAAGTCATTGCATGATGTGATTGTTCAGGACCAAAATCCCTCTTCAAGTGATCCACTTAATTTCATACATCGAAATGTTGAGGCCCCGAACGAGGGCAGTAATCACAGCAGTACTGGCTCTATAGCTGCTGGAAACAGGGTTGGCTTGGATTGGGGTTCTGTTCAAGATGTTTTCGAGTCCTCTCGTGCCCAAATTCCAAACCCTTTGGTTTTGAGCGGTGAGGGTGAAATCACGCATCTAAAACACAATTCATCGTCTGTTGTGGAGCTGAGGGAGCAGCAGGGAAACGATGTGAGTTTCAATTTGGACAAGGATGGCAGCGACTCATCAAATGGATCAAGGAGTAAGAGGAGTCATCAGAGGGAGGACGAGGATTCTCTAGATGACTGGAGGAGAAACAAGGATCCAGCGGTTTATGCTGACGAATTTGAGCTACCGCAGCTGTTTGATGAGGTACTGCTCTGTCAGGGTGAGAAACAAGAGTCCAACTCATGTTCTCCCAAGGAAAGCGAGAAGTTGCAGCTCAACCGGAAGTCAAAAGTATCGAAGGGCAAGAAAACACGCAAGAAAAAGCTGGATGACAATGCGGGGATGGTTGATCTATGGACGCTGCTGACTATATGTGCACAATCTGTTGCAAGCTATGACAAAAGGAAGGCAAATGAACAACTCAAGCAGATAAGGCTGAACTCTTCTCCCTATGGCGATGACACGCAGAGATTAGCTCATTACGTGGCAAATGGCCTCGAATTGCGCTTGGGTGCGGATGTTCCCTCGAACGCTTCCCTTCCCAGCAGTGAGATGTCAGCTGCTGATATCTTGAAAGCTTACCAGACTTACATCACGGCATGCCCTTTCCAGAAGATGTCGAATATCTATGCTAACCAAACGATTCTGAAACAAGCAGAGAAAGCGACAAGGCTTCACATCATTGATTTCGGTGTCCTCTATGGCTACCAATGGCCTTCCCTCATCCAAGACCTCTCCAAGAGAAACGGCGGACCTCCCATGCTTCGCATAACCGGAGTAGAGTTTCCCCAGCCAGGTTTCCGGTCTTCAGAAAGGGTCGAACAGACAGGGCGGCGCCTAGCGAATTACTGCAAGAGGTTTAACGTCCCCTTCAAGTACAACGTCATAGCAACAAATTGGGAAACAATTCGGTCTGAGGATATCAAAATCGACAGAGATGAGTTAACTGTAGTCAACTGCTTGTACCGGCTAAAAAACCTACAGGATGATACAGTGACAGACTGTCCTAGGGATACAGTTTTGAAGTTGATCCGAAGAATTAGCCCAGATTTGTTCATCCATGGGGTAGTCAATGGATCCTACAATGCACCCTTCTTTGACATACGCTTCCGAGAGGCACTCTTCCATTTTTCTTCCCTGTTCAACATGTTTGAGGAGACTGTGCCACGAGAAGATCCACAGAGGTTGCTCTACGAGCAAGAAGTATTTGGCAGAGATGTTATCAATGTGATAGCATGTGAGGGTCCAAGAAGAGTCGAAAGGCCGGAGACATACAAGCAGTGGCAGACTAGAAACATGAGAGCTGGGTTCCGGCAGGTACCGTCAGACCAGGAGATCTTGAAGGAAGTCAGGAGTATGGTGAAGAGAGATTACCACAAGGATTTCTCCATCGACGAAGATGGAATGTGGATGTTGCAGGGATGGAAAGGCAGGATATTCCATGCTATTTCGTACTGGAAACCTGTTTGAGTTACAAAAGGCACCAAGGCAATGCCCGAAAAGTGTGTGCTAGCAGTCTGGCTCATATTCTGCTGGTTTTCGGACTTCGGGAGAGTAATTTTACGGGACTTCGATTAGCTAGTACTGCTTAGAACTTGTAAGCATGATTTGTAGTTATGTACCCTCTTACAATCTGATTTGGGTGTACTAATAGTTCAGTTTAATGAAAGTTTACCGTTATGTTTTGAAGACCGGTCGATGAATGCATCGGAGAACCCTGAAAGCCGATATTAAGGCCGTCAACCATAAGTATTCTCCTGGGTGCAAAACCTGCTGATAAACCTAGGAGCCATAGTATCTTCACCACAATTATCAAGATTCCAAAGTAATTCTCTCATAACTCCGGTAACCTAATCGTTGAACCATAAACAAGAACTAACAAAAACGCAATGTTACAAACCATAGATTGGAGCATGAACTTCTTTATTATACTTAAAACTCCCGAGTATAATACAAATTTGTGTGTGGAAAAGAGAGAAACCAGTTCACCAGAAAATCTAACAAATTTGAATGGCTGTTATGAGAAGCGAGCATTAAATATTTGACAAGAAGATTACAGATATAAATGATAGGGCTTGAAAGCAGTTAAAAAGTAAAGTACACGCAACTATAAGTGAATCACCTAGTTATGCTTAGCCTCTTTTGTTTTGACCCTTTGATGGTCTAAGAACATTCCAGTTCAGGTTTTCACCCTTTGGTTTCCTGAAGGAGCCCTTACTTGTATTTGGTGACGACTGCTGACCAACTTGATTAAGTTTGGGTGACTTGTTCGGGAGTTGTTTCCCAGAACCAACTTCGGACTGTTTTCTTTTATGGTCTCCATTAGGATCACCGTTCGACTTATCAGTATTTGAGCACTCTGCTTCATCCATCGAGGATCCATTTTCTCTGTTGAAATGCAAATAGGAGAAAAAAGATAGGAGAGCAGAAGTAAAACTTCGGAATCAATTTTTGCCGGCATATATTTCTTAGTCATCCAACAGACCAAAAATTTCCATTTAAAGAGACAAAAGAACAAAAATTAAGTATTGAAATGTCAAATCACCCACCTAAATGACACCTTTTCACTTTGGATGCTAGAAGATGTGGCAGCAGGCTGACCAGGGTTTTCCGATACTTGATTCAGTTTCTATCATGGAAACACTTTTATGTGAGGTGAAATAAAGCCAATCAAGAAGTACACAAGATGTCAATAGCCATTAGAAATCTTAAGATCCATGAACCTTATACTCACATCAATCGATGGATTGAAACTTTGAAACGACATCCGCCCTCTAACTGCTTCAGGTTGAGGGTCACCTTCCATTATGACCACACTGCCCAGCCGTCCACATGAAGCAAGTAAAATTTGAACAACAGGAGGAGGAGCAATGTAACTAATGAATAACTATAGCAGGTAGTCGCAGTCATCTCTGGTTCAATGCACGGAGTTATTTTAACTTAGGCCTTAGGGCATCCACGTTGGGACATTAATGCCTTTGCATACTAAGGGATCCCAAAATGGGTTAAAACCCTATTAATGCCAATTAAGTAAAACTCTCTCTTGGAAGTTATAGCTTATAGTTAGGTTCTACAAACTGGTTCTCTAGGAATCATCATTCACAACCCATATCCAATTTTTCGATACCAATAAATCCAGAATTGCTCCAATTCCTCAGATACTACACCTACTTTAGGTCACAAAAAAATCTTTCCCATTGAAAACTATCATGCAACAAACAATTACGAAGCGAAGATCCACAGTAAACCTTCAAATATATTCATTTCAGTAATTTAATCCAAAAGGCGAAACAGCTCAAATGCTTTAGATAAACAGTAGAACAAGAAACAAAGATGAAAAAAAAATCTACCACTTTCGTATTTGGTGGGAAGGGAAAGCAAAATCCACAGCAGGTTTGACATCTTCTTCTTTCTTCACTTCTCTCTGAGTTGCTCTTTGCATAAACTACAGTAATTAAGAAAAATTAACCCATACGTTAAATTAATCTGAAAAACTAATTACAGGTGCACCAGAAAATTATAAAACTCAAAATTTAAAAACCTCAAGATAAATTTAAGCAAAACCCAGATCACATTCTAAGCGGAATTATAAAAAATAATAATAATTAATCTGACATTAACACTGAAAATAAATCGAAAACCCCAAAAAGAATTGAAATTTCTTCGTTTCTTTTTACCTTTAAGTTCCTGAGAGTGCTGGAAAGCTCTCGCTTCGCCATATTAGCCTTCTGGGTTTTCACTCTGGAATCCAATTGAGAATTGAAGTCGTTAACTTTAAGCGGTAATTTCTCTGCGGAGGCTCCGCCGTGAATGAAAAAGCTTTCCTGTATTTGTTCTGCAGCTGCGGGAAGAGAAGACGAAGAGGGAGGAAGCAAGCAAGGGTTCTTTCGGGGACGAGCACCGAACGAAAAGACAAATTTGACGCTCTCTAGCGATGGGCTTATTTTGGGCCAGGGTTTGGGCCAACTAGGTCACCAAGTCCACGTCAATTCCAAATTAGCACCCTAGGTTTTTGAGGTTGTTAATCCTTTGATCTCTAAATTTTTTGTATCCGGTTGGTCGCTTGACTTTTGAACTTCTATTTAATATGATAAATTTGCAAGAGAATTGTAGTTCATTTTGAGTAGGACAAGATAGAGATCGGTTAAAGTGGAGAAAATAAAATAAAATGGAAGCAGATGGAGTAATAATATAACGATCATAATCATTAGTTCTATACAGTCACATGAATTTGTTTCTGGAAACTTTGAATATCATCCACTGAAATTCCTCGTCCGTTAAACTAAAAGAGAAGATTTTTTAACACAAGCTATTCTACATTAAAGATGAGATATAGCTTTTGAACCCGAGAGTGAAAAAAAAAAAAACACTAACCAACTTTTAAACTTTATTTATAAATCATGTGATAAAAAATAAACACGCTAATTCATACTTAAATAATAATTCACTCATCAATAATCATATTATATAATTTATAAAAATATAATTCAAATAAATGAGTCGTTTGACTTTTGAGTTCAAATAGAAGACTCTCTGAAGTCTATGCCTATAAAAACTCGGAAAGCGCCCTTCTCACATAAATCACTCTCTGCCCTGACCCAGCTAGCAAGAAAGAAACGCAGCACTTCCAATCCATCATCCATTACAATCGCAAAGGTGCCAAACAAAATTCACACTTTCTGTTTTAACACCATTAACAATTCAGCAACTTTTGGTTCTAATTTCTTCTGGGTATTCGGTTTTCAATCGTTTTGCTTGAAATCAAATAGTGGGTTTCTTATTCTTCTTCTTATCTTTGTTCCCTTTTTCTGTGAACAGAAATGGGTATCTTTGTTTATAACTGTATATCTGAAATCTGTATGTTTTGATGGGTATTCTGAAATTTTTTTTATTGAGAATTGGGTTCTTTTCTCACTGTTTTTGCTTATTTGGCAGGATATCGGTATTTTGGCCAGTGGCAGCTTGTTGGACCCAGTGAATATGGTAAGTTGAATGACCCATTGTTCTGTTCCCTTTAGTTTGTGCTTTCTAAAATTGGAATATGAGAATAAAGTTGTTGACTTGATTGTGTTGGTGGTTTAGTTTCTAATTCTGTTGATTATAGAAACCTTGAATGGTGATGTTGATGCATGTTTGTAGGATGAAGGAGGTTTAAGATTTGACCAAAAATAGGAGGTTTTAGATTTGAACGGTTTCGGGTCTCAGTTAATGAGCTTGGATGCTTCTGTTTCACATTTTATCCATGATCTAAATGTTTGGAGTTACTTTGACTGAAGAATTTTGTTAAATGATCTGATTATTTTTATGTAACAGGCTTATGAAGACTTTCGCACTTCAGCGTTTGAGCAAAGTTACCGTTGTTACCCTGTCTCGTTTATTGAGAAGGTTTGAATTCTGAAACCCGAAAGTTAAATTTCACTAATGAAGTGTGCTCCATAAATGAGGGCAACACTCTGAAATCTATCAATGGAACCTATGCTGGAGTGGGAATGCATCTTCCAGTATTTGAGTTTTGTGAATAGTCAGAGTGATGTATTAGTCATAATTGAATTTATTCATTCAGCTTCCTGTTTGTACTGATTACCCTTTAATCTCGGCTTTGCAGCCACATCTGGAGAAGGGTGATAAAAGTATGTTTATCTGCTTGACTAGTTCGTTTATACTATCTGTGTGATGCTTTCTTTTCGATAGAACATGGTAGTACTGAATGCTTGTCTAATTATACTTTTTTTATATTTGTCCCTCCAGTTTTAATGCCTCCGTCAGCTCTTGACCGCCTCGGTAATTGATCATTCTGTCTCTTCTTTGTCCTGCTGTTGCAAATTGAATTTCAATTTATCTAAACCTGTCTTAATATATGACGATATCAACTAAATGAGAACTTTTCTTTTCCAGCATCTTTGCAGATCGACTACCCTATGTTGTTTGAACTTAACAATCCTACTGTTGGACGAGTTACTCATTGTGGGGTTTTGGAATTTGTTGCTGATGAGGTCTAATATATTTACCATACTGGGTACACATCTTTCCCTTGCAAGTTGTAGCAGCAGCATTCCAGATACGGTCATGCTTCTAACTCATTTATGTTTTTTTGTTCCTTGTAGATGATGCAGAACATGCTCCTTCAAGAGGGAGACATTTGTCAAGTAAAAAACAAAAGCCTAGTAAAGGGAACATATGTGAAGTTGCAGCCTCACACTACGGACTTCCTTGATATCTCAAACCCCAAAGCCATGTTAGTTAATCACTTTGAATTTTCATTTGGCTAGTTGGATTGCAGTTTGATATAACTGTGAAATTATTTTTAATCCTAACTGCTCTTGCTGTCGCAGTTTGGAAACTACATTGAGGAGCTACTCGTGTTTAACCACTGGTGATACTATCATGGTTCCTTATAACAATAAGCAGTATTACATTAACATAGTTGAAACAAAACCCTCCCCTGCAATCAGTATAATTGAGACGGACTGTGAGGTTGATTTCGCCCCTCCTCTTGATTATGTGGAACCTGTAAAACCTGCAGCACCTACTTTGTCTAAGAAGAGACCACAAGAAGGTGCTTGTGCTTTTTTTTTTTTTTTTTTTTTATATATATAAATAATTTGATAAATGGATTGAAGTTCTAATCATTGGCCTTAAATGCATATTCATCTTCTGCCTACAAGACTGTAGAATTCCTTTCTATCAACTGACGTGGATTTTCCGTTTTTAATGGGTATCTTTCAGCTGAAGAAGTACAACCTGAAAAGATACCAAAATTCAATCCCTTCACTGGTTCAGCAAGACGATTGGATGGAAAACCAATGACAGAATCAGTTGCACCAGTTTCAGCTCCTATAAAGCAGCACCAACAGGAGAGTGAAAATGGAACCAAGGATTCAAAGTCATCGACTTGTGCTGCACGTAAATCTGGAAAGCTTGTGTTTGGTTCAAATGGTAACCAACCCACGAAAGAAACCCCGAAAGTACGTCCCTCATTGTTTGTGATTTTAAACAATATAAGTATAACACCATGCTTATCTGTTGTATCTGTACTTGTAATCCCAGGTTGCCGCAAAGAACAGCAAGCCAGAGCCATCTAAGAAGGTAGAACATACACCTCAGAAGGCAGAAGAGCCGAAGTTCCAAGCATTCACCGGGAAGAAGTATTCACTGAAAGGGTGAACTTAAGGGCGTAACTTCATCGAAAACAAGGAAAGAAAAGAAGGCATTTCTTCTATCAATTCTGTTTTGAGAGATGAAACATTCAAGTTGTTTTGGCAATGGAAGGTCCAACCCCAGAAAGCGCCCTGCACTTGAATGATGTTTTTCTGTCATATGTAAATAGGCACATGAACCAAAGGTTGGTATAAAGTGGCAACTTCCATGTCATACAGATCAAATGGAACTATGTTCATATATTTATAATTTAAAATATTTCTTGAATTTTGTTGATTGTTGTTAGGCCATTGTGCCTTGCTTCTCTTCGTTCTTCGGAAATCGTTACCTAGAGTAAATTATGCAACCTACCTCGGGTCCTTAGGGTTCGGTAAATTAGAGTGTTTGATAATATCTGAAGTGCTTCTTCAGGAAGGCATCCAAGTGAAAAGAACCTCCCATAGAAAGCAGTGGGAGAACTAAATGGTGAACCAGTGGCAATAACATACAGGTCTTTTACTGTACTAACACAAGTATTCAACTCTTAACACGGTTGCGAATGCGCGGTTGAATGTTAGTTTGTTGCTGTATAGCAATATTATTTTTCATTATACTTTGTATTTAATATCGTTCATGAAATTTAAACTTAGCATCTCTTTCAATAGATTATGCGCCAAATTCGCTTTTCTCATTGTGTGACATCGAAGTTTGGTCCTTCATTTTGTTGATTTCATCGTGATGGATACAAACCATATTTCTGTACCAAATCTCAAATGATGTCATTTGCTTGATATAAAGTTCATCTCCCTGCGGCCCTGCCATTTTGCAAATTCGATCGCAATTGGATTCTGGAACCGAAGGAATGGAGATTTATTTTTAAATTTATTTTAGATTAGTTTTATATTTAAATTGATTTTATTTGTTTTTTATTCGCATAATGCAAAGTTGGCATCCACATCAACAAAAATATGGGCCTACGTTTGTCATGTCATCATGTAACGGATCAATTTGACAGCTTGTTTAACAGAGGTCTGATATTGTAACAAATTCGTAAGTTGTATGACATTACAATGTTCAAAAATATGATATATGAGTTTGTTATGTAACCCAAAGTTGAGGTGGTAAAATATAATTTACCCATGAAATTAATTAAAGGCAATATTATTAAGTTGATTAATGTGCATTTTAATGGCACGACACTACGTGATTATGTGACCGCAACATTGATTAATTTCTCATAATTAAGGTGTAGTAGTTGACATGATTCTCCTACACACGTCAACGAATGGTTGAGATTTAACAAAATTTTATTCAGTTAAATCTCAACCGTTCTTTATTGCTTTTTTATGCTTTGGAGATCAGCCAAGCTCGTAGTAACTAGTAGTTGCTTAATTTGAATAATCCTTACGTTTAATTAAAAGGAGGGAGGTGCAGAGATTTAAACTCAAATTTGTTGTAATATTAAGAAAAAAAAACAAGTCAATGTTTGCAAGGATAAAAATGATTGGAAATTTTTCAAAAGTGACATGAAGTGTATTATATGCATTCAAAATTCACATTTCCATGCATTTTTTTTTTTTTTGTCGAAATTCCATGTATAATATCATAAACTTTCATATGAGAAGAGCTTAGCTAGTTTGGAGGAGTTCCTTCTCAAAATACTTATTGATCTATTCACAGAATTTCGTGCTTATAATCGGAACTGTTTATATTATAAATTACTCTGTAAAGATCATCACTGTAAAAAATCAATTAAAACAAAGATCAGTTAGTCAATTAATTGTAGCAAACAAATAGATGTTTTGTAATGCTTTTTAGTAGGATTCTCTCCCCTCTTTTTTTCCCTCCCCTACTCTCTCTTCCTATTTGAACGGTCACGATTAAGCCACGTCAACATCTTATATTAATTTTTTATAGAAAAAGAAAGACAAAATAGAGAATATGAGAGGAGTGGATGGAAGGGGATAGAAAGAGGAGGGGAGAGAATCTTTATCCTTTACTAAATTCGTAGTCAAATGTATTCAAGTAGGGTTTTCTGGAACATATTAATAAGCTAGACCATATTTCGAGAAGAAACTTAGAAAAAAGAAAGGAAGTGACTTAGACAAATCTTTTTTATCAATAACCTCATACCAATCAATCGAATATTCATTAATAAGTAAGAGAAGAACAAAAGTCGTACAGATTCACAAAAAACCATGGGTAGGAACTCAAAAAGAGATATTGAAGTTGTCAACTATAACCCCAAAAGAACTAGATTCCATAAACAACACAAAGGAAGAATGCAAGGAATATCTTATCGAGGTAATCATATTTGCTTCGGTTATATGCTTCATTTGCTTTCATATAGTTCGATGACTAAACAATCTTAGTTTTAATTAATTTTTTTTGTAGAAATGATCTTTACAAATTGACTTATAATATAAATGGTTTTGATCAAGAAAATAAAATTCTGTGAATAGCCCCCGAAGTATCCTTTGAGAAGCAAGTCTTTCTCTTTTCATAAACGAGAAAACTCTATATTTCATACAAAGAAATCTAAGACACTGCTTAAGCTATTTTATCACATAAACATCAAGTAATGTCTTATGCAGTACACAGAATTTACGTAGTTTACTAGCTAGTTGAACTAGAACATGCAGCTGGAAGCGTGGAAGCGTGGAAGCGTGGAACACTAGTAATAGTTATCAAAACCGGCGGGTGGAACCTCTCCCGGCCAGGGCCACGGGCACTCAACGTAGGGATTTTCGTCGAACGTCGATAATGTCTCGTACGTGAGTAGAGCTGATAGCACGAAGGAGAAACATGAGTCCAGACCAAAAATAAAGGAAAGACAGGTGGTGATCATGGCTGCCACTGCCATGGATGATGATGTCTCTGAAGCTTGTTAAGCTGGCTAGTTAAGATCTTCGTTGTTGTAATTTTATAAGTAACAACTGTCGATCGAGTTAATTTGATCGACTTAAACTTTGGATGGTCCTAAAACAACTCGAACAAGTGCTTAAATAGTAATAAAGCATAAAATTACCTTAACTGCCTAGGAAAACATAAATTTAGTTGCGATAATATTAACCTTAATTGATTAGGAAACTTTATGCACGAAGGTTTAAGCTGCACAAAGATGGGATGGAAAGAAACAAAAAAAAGGAAAGAAAGCGGCATACATTTGACAGTAACAATTGTGCCCGCCCAATGGGTGCACCGCTGTGTTCATCCATTTGTAAAGTTTATTTTCAAAACCGTTCATTTTCTTAGTTATCATTTCTTAGGTTCGAAGATCGTAGGATGGCGAATTCGATACCTAATTAGATTGTCCATTATGTGGCTTAGCCGAACTCCCCTTCCTCTTAGTGTAAAAATATTGATGTACTCAAAAAAAAAAAAAAAAAAAAAAAACGTTTGTACCAAAAAATCAACCAAATTGTAGATCATTTAGTCTTTTAAGTAGATGGACAGTTCATCTTTATGTTAGTTGTTACCAAAATCATGCATTTAATACATACATATGGATGAATTAGCAATCTACAAGTTGATTGATTTTTTAACAAACGGGGCCTATAAGTATAATCTTATTATAATATAAAGAAGGGTCTTTCCAGCATGATTTAGACAGAACAATGCTAAGTAGTGCTATATCAAGCTTACCATCTCAGACACTTCTACAATTTTAAGGTAAAAATTACATGATAATATCGACAACTCATCAGCCGTTTGGTGTTTCCGGCGCTCCACTACAAGCTATTTCCTTTTCTATGCTTGATATGGTAGAACGTAAGAAGCTGTGTGTTGGTAATCAACCGTTCAGATGACTTATAGGTAGGCTAAGCTTCTACCAGTTGCTCAATTGCAATCTCTCGTGAATTCCGGACATTTTCAGACTCCTCGGTGCTGGTTTCCCAGAGTTCTGGCAGTGCTTCCTTCATATTATGGATGCTCTCAAGTGCATGGTCCACGCCTTTAGTTCGGTGAGAGGTGCCAACCTACAACCATTTTGATAAACGATATTTGTGAGGATGATATTCCAAGATCATTTTTCAATAACTGCGATATTACAATTGCGCCAATTTCATATTTGCAGCTTACCAATACTGTGTGAAGGCCACACTGCTTTGCAGTTTGTAAATTCCGAATGCTATCGTCGAAGAATAACTGGAAAGGAAACCGAAATCATAAAATCAATACAGTGCGGAAAACAAGTAACTGTAGACATTTAGAAAACTACTTAATAAGTAAAGCTAGAATAAATGGCGATAAGAAACAGAATTACCCCACATTATGTTAAAGTGTAACCTGCCAACTTATGAGGCATATGGATCAGTCAATTTCCCTTGGTAAATAGGTAAAAGATCTTACCGTTCTTTGAGGGTCGATGTTTGCTATCTTAAAAGCTTCTTCATATGCCTGTTCAAATGGTTTGGAGACAACTGGGGTCTTTGGAATTACCGCACCAGTATTTGGTTGTTCAATGTGTTCAGCTACACCTGCAGTCACAGAATCATCAGCACTGTTGGTGGGATTCAGTGTCTCAAAGCATATAACCGACTCAAAGCAGTCCTCAATTCCAAGCCTTTTGAGCACAGTAGCCGCATGTGCCTTATCCGAATTCGTGAAAATCTACACAGAATTACCAACATAACATGAGAAGCAAGCATTAATGTAATGAAATTTCGCTTTTTTTTTTCCTCAAAGAGAACATCTGAGTGCATTTCTGGATTAATAAAACTTACGACTTTCCGGACAGGCAGACTAAGTAAAAGACCCCTCAGAACAGGATCAGGATGAAGCAACTCATATGGCAACCTCCCATGAACAAAACTGCAAAAAGTATATATTGGAAAAAATTAAGATCAAGCGATTGTCGTAAATGACAGGAGCACAAACTAAGGTGAGGCATTCGTTACCTATGAAAGTCATCATAGTCGAAGTTATAGCCCTTCGCCTGGAAATCAGCAATAAAAACCAAAAAACCATGTTCAATTGCCATTCAGATCTGCCTTAATTAAATACTTTCAGAAACTATAAATAAACGTTGAAGGGATCACAATCACCATACCTTAAGACCAGCCATTGTTGTTCCATAATCCTTGTACAAAGAAATACACAATTCCGGAACTTCACTTTCGTCCATGCCAAGCTTTTGAATCATATATTCTACAGAAAAAGTTTTAAAAAACTTACACTAAAACAATGAACATTTCACAGTAAAGTTTTAAAATCCAGAATCATAAAGCCCACCTCACCTTTAATATTCGTAGTGATTTGCACTGAAATTCCAGAACTCAGAGGGTAAAGGGTGTCATCTAGATCTGGAAATCAAAGCAACTAGTTCTTACATCCGCCTTCGAAAACCATAACTTTCACATAAAAAAACCTGTGTTAAAAAATAAACTTACCAAACAGAAGGCACTCATATTGGTGATACTGAACCTGATTTTCCATCTTTATCTACAAGGCTTCAAACAAGACGAATCGAAAGAATCATTAAGCATATAAACAATTACATAACAACAAAACATTAAAAAGCAAAAGGCAGTTTCCATTTACCAACAACACAATCAAAGCAAAGCAGATGACTAAAATCCCAGGAAGTGTAGCCATTTAAGCAAGATCTCAACGGACAAAACAATCCCAAAATTTGATTTCTCCAACATTAACCATTCTAAATTTCTAAGTGAGAAAACAATGCTTCATCAGAATCAAAATAGAAAACCCAATATTTGGTTTCTCCTACATTAACCATTAATTGCAAATACAAAAAGAAAAACATCCAATGCAAGAAAACCCTAACAAAGTAAGAGTAGACTAGAGCAATGAGCGTTACCAGATCCGAGTGACCGACGTTGCAGAGCCACAGACAGAGAGAGAGAGAGAGAGAGAGAGAGAGAGAGGAGGGGGGGGGGTGGGGGTGGTGGTGGTGGGACTTTAAGTAGGGTAAAGTGAAAGAATAGAAGAAGACTCGGAAGCGTGGAAGTATGTTTAAACAGGCACACAACCGTTTTTTAAATATTAATTCAATTTATTCAACCAAAGCCAGTAAAAGATCTGACCTCATTACGTGGCCGTATTGGAGCCTAACACGTACATATGTTACATGAGCTTCTCCCAGAAATCGCGTTTAACTGGATAAGTGTCGCGTATCACCATGGGCGTTTTAGTTTGTTTAATTTTTATCATGCGTTTTTTTTTTCTCGTTGCATGTTAGCCACGTCCCATAAAAAAAGAAGAGAAATATGAGAAAAATAAAATAAAATACATAGTTCACTTCTAGGTTTTTTGGGCAGCAAGGAAACCACTTTTATTTATTTTTCTTGAACATTTGGTTCCTTCTAAAGTTGATAAATATAAAATATCTTACCTATTTTTAAAGAATGGACTTTTTTAAAAGTTGTCTCATTGTTTTTAAAGTTGTAGGTTACTTTTAAAAGTTGCTTTTATAAAAAATAGGGTTAAGTCTTTAATGAATATTTTTAGTTTTTGTAACGTACTCATTAATTTTAAAAATCTCCTGCATACATTTTCTCCCTTGAAAAACAAAGTGATTGCTATCACTTACCACTTCAACCACTAATCTTTCATCACCACCGTCATTACCACCGACATCGTTACCATCAACATCACAACAATCATCACCACCCCCAACATTGTCATCGCCACCGTCACAATCGTCATCACTACCACCACCATTGTCGTTGTCACCCACTATCACAACCACAAACTACCACCACTATCACCACAAACACAACTGTCATTAGTACTACCATTGTTGTCGTCATTGTCGCTATAATCATCACCAATGCCACCGCCTTTACCATAATTCTAATTTCTGGATCCCAACCACCACACCTCACTATGGGCACCACCACCTTACCCTTACAATTTGCCACCACTGCTGGCCGGCCATTGGTACAACCACTGCCATCACCACCATCATTGTCGCCAACATCTACAACTACATGCCACCAGCCTTGTACCACTACCGCCATCAAAACCACCGTCAAGAATGCTGCAATCACCACCACTGTTGCCTCTACAACACAATCACCATACCTTATTATTAGCACTAACACCACACCCCCACTATGGCCGCCACGATCACCGCCACTATCCTCACCACCATTGTCATTACCACCACCACACTACCATGTACATTTTTTTCATTACATACAAGTATATCATTTGTACATTAAAATGTACCAAACTCTTTGACACTGCTTTTCATACTCACAACATTTTTAAAAATACAGTTTATCAAACACTTAACTGCTTGATTTTACAATTGATTATTCTTAAAGTACAACAAATTTTTTATTTTTTGTTTTTTTATTTTATTTTTTATTTTTTATTTTTTAAGCATAGCAATCCTGAACCGTCCTAAGAAGTATTTGACACTTTTTTATGGAAGAATCGAGAATCAAATAATATTTTCTTGTTTAGGCATTGCAACACCTTGTGAAACTTAAATATCCTCTAAAAAATAGAAGGCTTTTTTCAGTAGAGATTACAACTTAACACCTTACGAAATTTGATAAAATTAAAAGATTAAAAAAATTAAAAAAAAAATCCTCCAGCAATAGAAAGATTTTCTTCCAAGGATTCTTACCACGTTGGGACTTTACCCCTACGAGAGTATTCCATCAACTTTTATAGATGAGTAATGTTATTCATACCATGTTTGTGTACCATATTTTCATACCACCTTAAATGACATTTGATGTAGACAGCCACATTATTTGAATTAATCAAATTTTTAAATTTAGTTCATTATTTAATAAACTAATAATTAAGGAAAACTAGTTAATTAAATGATGATTATGGTATACGAAGAGTCTTTCTCCTTCATTTCCTTGGGTTTTGCAAATTTTTCAAATAATGTAGCTGTCCACATCAGATGTCACCTAAGGTGGTATAGAAATGTGATATAAAAACATGGTATGAATAACATTACTCTTTATAGATATAACATGACGATCTTAATGCCCATGTTGTTTATGCTTGTACGGAATTTATATTCACTTCTTGTTCATTTTACGTTTTTGTGAAACCATTTTGATTTTGTGTATATCATCGTCGGTCTTTCACGTAGTGAAGGTCAGCCTTATAGACAAATTTTATATATTAAGAATAATGTTAGGTAAACTAAATTTGTAGATTCAATTTGCAAATGAATACTAATAAAAAATAAGCACGTTAATCAACACTTAAGTAATAATCTAATCATCAACTTCATGTCAGTTAGTTTATAAAATTTAGTCACCAATAGAAAATGATGTGTAGACAACTAAATGATGTGTCACCAATAGAAAATGAGCACGTTTATCAACGCTTAAGTAATAATTCAATTATCAACTTCCATATTATTTAGTTTATAAAATTTTGTTTACAAATTTAGTCTTCCCAACATTATCAAATTACTTAAATATTATATCATGATGGACACTTTGTTTAACTGTACGTTTTAAGTTTCTTATTAACTTTGACAGACAAATAAAAAAAAGAAAATTAATGAAAATGGTTTGAAAACTTTGAGTTTTAATGATAAAGACAAAATAAAGGGTAAATTGAATAGTACCAGGATTGACTTTTTAGTGTAAAAATATGGTTTTTCGTTAAAGTGAACAGTACCGTGGGCTTTTCGTTAAAACTCCCAATAAAAAAAAGGTGTCTTCATTTAAATATGGTAATATACCACTAGTATATTTACAACAAATAAGTCTGTTTCTCATTAAGTGGGGTCGACTGTATAAATCCTAGAACCCAAGTGTACTCATTTTTACGCGAAGTCTCCGTTAACTCCAAGTACTTCATGTTTTTTTTTAGAGTCTCTTTCTAAGTCTTCTTAGGTTTTTCTCTACCCATTTTGGCATATATAAGCCTCTGTCTCACAATTGCATCCTCTAGTTGGAGCATCTGTAGGTCTTCGGTTAACATGTCCAAACCACCATAGTATTAGTATATTATAATATTAGTAAAATTCTTTGGATACACAAAATTGACATACTCGTAAATACATACGAGCCTTACCATTGCACGTGAGTCTTAGTACTGGTTTGATACTGTGGTGATTTTATAAAAAGTGGGTATAAAAAAAACTGAGTTCAAAAAGGTGTTTGGTAAATACTTAAAAACAGCTTATTTTCACAGTTTTGGATGAAAAAAAGCTGAAAACGTGAAGCAGGAAAATTGAGCTTATTCTCATAGCACAGTAGAAGCAGTTTTTTTTCAAAGCACAGCAATACCAAACCAGCCCTTACTAGTATATTTGACTGTCAAATTTGTGTTTTCAAATCATTTCACCCTTACAATATACCCAAAATTTAATTGTTAGAAATAAAGGGGACCAAAGGATCGATAATAAAAAAATTCACATCAATTGTTATCCAGGTTTTTTTAGATTTATTTGGGTAGGTTTATGTATTATTTATTATTCAGTGGCTGTGGTATTTATTTTGGTAGCTGTGGTTGCAAAAATCAGAAAGCAAAGGAAAAAGTTTACGAAAGAAGCTTGCTTTTTATCATTGATAATTTGATCATACAATTATTAGGATAAACATATTTCTAAAAGTATACAGTCAAGTGCTAGCCTCCATGCTTTTCCATTTGCTCAAAGGAGTTTTGAAATTGAGCTAAAAAGCTAAGCCCTGGCAGTCACTGATTTCTCCATTGCCAGCTCCCCTGACAAAGTTCTAGCCGTGTCTGTATTTTTATTGTCGATTTCCCAAAGTTCTGGAAGTGCTTCTCTGATATTGTGGATGCTCTCTATTGCATAATCCACACCCTTTGTTCTGTTGGAGTTGCCCACCTATACATATATATATATATATGTATGTATATGTGTATATATAGGGTTTAACAATGTTAGAAATGTTTTATATTAATTAGCAATTAAGATGAACTGAAAAATCTTATTTTGTGTTTACAACTTACCAATACAGTATGGAGACCCATGTTCTTTCCAGTTTGTATGTTCCTTAGGCTATCATCAAAGAATATCTGCAAAATTAATCAAAAAATTTCTTTGTTAGAAGGCTTTACTCGAGTCGCTTGTGTTCGAAGCACTTTGTTTAGAAGCACAAGAAGAATTTTATCACAACTCACTAAAAAAGCTTCTGATTGTTTAGTAACACTTTGGACACTTTAAATTAAAGCACTACCAAACAGACTTTACGTTAGTTTCTTACAGTTCTTTGAGGGTTAATGTTGGCGTTTTTAAAGGCTTGTTCATATGCATTTGCAAATGGTTTGCAAACAATTGAAGTCGCCGGAAGCTCTGATATTCCAGCATCAAATAAACAAGAACGATAAAAAACACTTGTGCTGCATCCTTCATCATCTTTAGTGGGATTCAGAGTCTCAAAGCTAATAACTCCTTCAAAGCAGTCATCCAATCCAAGCTTGCTTAGGGTTTTTGCCACGTGGACGTTATCCGCATTAGAGAAAATCTGTTTCATGCATAAAACAAAAAAAAACATAATCAGAGAAATATTACATATAAAAGCTAATTAGTAATTCATTAAAATTAATTTCTTATTTAAAGGTGACTTGTATGTAGCTTACAAGTTTCCTATATGGCAGGCTCAGCAATAGAGCCCTTAGCACAGGGTCAGGTCTTAGATTCTCATAGGGCAATCTTCCATGAACAAAACTGTAATATTTGGGAATTTGTGAGATTATTGCATCATATAATGATGGAAAATTAAAAAATTAAAAACAGGTAATGAAAAATTTTGGTACGAAGACTTAAGGTAAAAGAGGTAGAGAAAGACCTGAGAAGACTTTGAAAGATACTTTAAGAAAAGATATGGAGTACGCTAACGGAAAACTTGACCCAAAACCGAACATAATGACATTGTAAGATTCATATAGACGACCCACTTAGTGAGATATGATTTGGTTTGTTGTAATGAAAAAATTTGATACCTATGATAGTCCTCGTTATCAAAATTATAACCAATGGCCTTGAGACCAGCTATTGATGTTCCATAATTCTTGTACAGTACTTGATTCAACTCAGCGACTCTTTTTTCCTCGATGCCTAATTTTTGAACCATGAATTCTGAAAAAAGATAATTAAGAATAATCAGATAAATATTCAATTTCACTAAATAACTGATGAAATTAACTGATGAAAAGTGCGTGTTTGGATGGAGGCATTGATGGATTATGGTGTACCTTCAATATTCTTGGTGCATTGATCAGACAATCCAGAACTCAAGGGATAAAGGGTATCATCAACGTCTGCGACAAAACAGATTTTTTGTTATTGTTTCTTTTTCCTGTTCGAGCCATATTACAATCTAATTTATACTACGAGGGGAATTCAAACACGAGTGCACAGGGGGACACCACACTGCTAATCAACTTGGTTACATCCAAGTTAACAAGCTATTAGATCTGATAACTTAAAGGGCATGATATATGAGACTAAAAAGGGAAAAGACTTACCAAAGAGAAGGCACTCATATTTCATCTGATCAGCCTTCTGATATTGGTTTTGGAATTCCATTTTATCACTAAAATCAAAGCTTCAAAAGAAAGCGAGAAAGTTCCTCAGAGAGAGAGAGAGAGAGAGAAAGAGAGAGAAGGTGCAGATGAGAGGTTTGAGTTGAGAAAATATGAAGGTCTTGAAGCATATTTATGGTGAAATCCACAGGAATGTCACAGCATGCCACCTTCTTTGACACTCAACGTCCAGAAAGTAGAAACATATATGCTAAATATCTCCACTATATATATGGATAGATGCCACTGGCCACCACACACAATTCAAAAGTTGACAGCTAGAAGAAGGAAAAGAATTTTTGAACAAAGAAAAAGAAGGGAAAGCGTTTCTCCGTGTACATATATCAACGGTGAAAGCGAAAGAAGCATCGTATCGGAGCCTCAACAATCAGCATATAGAATAAAGTAGCGTGTATGTCACAATGAAAGCTTTTTTGGGTGCAGTTCACGACGGACGTCGCAAACACAAGGATACGTTTTTCTACTGGAATACTCTCGTAGGATTCGAACACAGATGAAGTTCTACCATTTGTCCTCACGAGGTGTAATATTATCAATATTTATTTTATGGTGTAATATTATATATGCATGTTGTAATATCAACAAATTTATAGCATTACGAGGCTGTGTTACAATCACGTTAAAAACTTTTCACTTACTCAACTAGAGTAGAATCAATGGCATTTTGCATTTTAACTTTAGTGAGGTGTTACAAGTAACTTTAACAACGATGGGAACATTTTAAATTACTCAGGGACATTATGGTTAACGTGAGAATCTGGTGTTTGTGTCACAATCTTTGATCAACTAAACTACAATTTACATCCTAATAGAAAAAGAACTTGAGCATTTAGTGCCAATTTTTTAGCCCCTGAGAAGGCAGAACATGAGGTTCAAGGGGCGATGAGCCATCATCCTCGGCCCCAACCGGCGGTCTCCACTGTTTTCTCATCACCTTTCCCTTTGAAACCTTCCTTAAATCTATCGTAGTTGGTCGCTTCAGCAGGTTTATATGGTCTTCCCCCCAACACCTTGAGCAGGTCATCTTGGTGAAGAACTTCCTTTTCAAGCAACAGTTCTGCAATTTGAGCTACTTGCTCTTTATGTTCCTCTATGAGTTCAACTGTGCGTGCATACGCCTTACCCACCCATTCGCGCACTTCACTGTCAATAAGGGCTCCAGTCTTGCTGCTGTAGGGCTTTGACATCTCAAATGATTCTTCCCTTTGAGGGAAAGACAGGAGACCCACCTTGTCACTGAAACCATACACTGCAATTTGGGCGTATGTCATCTTTGTCACTTTCTCCAGATCGTTTTGGGCTCCCGTAGATATTTTTCCCAGCATAACCTGCACTCCAGAATATGTAAAACAAACAACATCATTAGACAACTAATGAAGTTCCAGGGAACTTGAGAATGACGATTGAAGAATGAGAAGAATTAAGAAACATATATAATGCATCATTAACGTATTCAAAAAATAAGACTAATAAAGTTTCTTGGATACCTGTTCAGCTGCTCTACCACCGAGGGTCATGCAGGTCATATCAAAAAGCTGCTCCTTGGTCATGAGGATGTTTTCATTTGGAACATACTGCGCAAACCCAAGTGCTGCAGTACCTCGAGGAACAATGGTCACTTTCAACAACGGTTCTGCGTGTTCTAAGAACCAGCCAGTAAAAGCATGCCCTGACTCATGGTAGGCAACAGTACGGCACTCAAGCTTGCTTATAACCTGTTTGACAAGCAAAAGGATGTCAAAATTCCAATCATATAGAACAAAGACAAAGAAAAACACTTAAGGTTAAAAGTCAAAGCATTCTCTTCTAAGACATAAAATCCCTTTCAGCTACCTAAAAGCTTGATCTGGACCTTTATTAACACTACTGAAACCTGCATAACGGAAGGTAAAGTGGGATCTACAAGGGCCAGATCAATGGAAAGAATCTGTTCTAACTCAACATAAAGGGCCACCTATAGCCGCATAAGATCCAAACCCAATACTCTAGTTTTAGAAAGATGGATAACAAGAGTTTGCCTTCCAAGTATTTTCTTCTTCCAAGGTATGCAATGATTATCTCCAAAGGTTCCAATCAAATCTCTACCGGCCCATGTTATGCAGCATTGCTCTTTTCAATTTTGGACAATGAGGAGATGAGAGGAGAGGGGAGGGAATGGTAATTTACTAAGAAATTAAACAAAGTTATCATATTCCATGAAACTAAAGGAACGAGCCAAAAATGACTCACCCTGTTCTTCGTCTCCAAACCACCAATAATTCTGTCTATAGCCGCCTCAAAATGCTGCATTGTGACCAGCTCACTCTCATTTCTTGCAGCAATTAGAGCACCTTCATTGCAAACATTTGCAATGTCTGCCCCAGCAAACCTGGAGTCAGGGCTGCAAGCCTTTGAGAATAATATGATGGTTCATGATCAAGTTTGATCTTTTTCAAGTATATCCGAAATATCTGATCACGACCTTTAATATCAGGTTTATCAATGGAGACTAGGTGATCAAATCGACCAGGCCTTAATAAGGCTTTGTCCAAAATATCAGGCCTATAGGTGCCAGCAAGAAACTACTCAGCAGTTGTTCCAAAGCCATCCATTTCTACCAACAACTGATTTAGAGTACTCTCACGCTCATCATTGGAACCTGACAAGCCACCAAGTCTGATCCAGATATAGATAGAAACGGAACACCAGATTCCCCTGCAGTTACTTCTGCTAGAAGGGTCTTTCCAGTGCCTGGAGGGCCTACCAATAAAGCTCCTTTGGGAATTTTGGCTCCCAAATCCTCATATTTCTGAGGATTCTTGAGAAAGTGCACAAATTCCATGATTTCCTGCTTCGCTTCGTCGCAACCAGCAACATCTTTAAAATAGATCTGTACCAATTAAAAATATCCGGTAGTGCTGAAAACGTGCAACAGAGTGCTTAAGAAAATATATTACAACAGATTAATGACAAGAAAATACTAGGGAAACAAAAATCCAACCTGGTTCTTTGCATTTTTATCTACTTTCATAACTTGGGCTTTTCCTATATTGAATATTCCGTGGGCACTTCGTCCACCAATACCTCCTCCCAACTGCACTAACAAGAAACTTCCCAAAAGCAGTAGTGTAGGTAAAAATCTCATCACTTCTAGGAACCAAACCATATTAGAGCCATATGTAACAGGGACGAAATCATGACTAGCTATTCCCAATGCTTCCTGGGCATCCTCCAACCCTCCTCTCAAAGGATTCAATACTTCCAATAATTAAGTATTTGCACCGGCCCCATTTTGCAGGAACACTGGTATCAGGTCCTTGGACAACTTCCTCACTTGTCTGACCGCATGGCGAGCTACGCACATACACGAATGCAATTAATTTATCAAAGACAACTATATTATCCACTAAGCCCGGTTCCAGAAGTTGGTTTTTAAACTCTTGGAAACTTATATGCATCTCTTGCACACTTATCTGCAAAGAACAAAATTGCATCATGTGAGTAGCGAACTTCTTTCTGGTAAAGAGAAACTACCGTAAATATTAAACAGAGCGATACCAAAAAAGCGATTACAAACAGACTCAAATATTTCACAAGATTCGTACACAGATACATTTTAATGAATTGACTGATTTGGAAGTGAACGGGTATTTTCTCAGTAATTAGGGTCACAAAACATGCTGGCTGAATCTAGCTCAAGACCAACTTCAACTCAATCTTAAAGATAAAGGACATTTATTCCACAGTAAAGCTAATCTGAATCAAAATGGACCAAACTTCTATGATTTTGAACAATTATCTTCTGGAAGATGTTAAGCAACCAAAGGACTTTCCCAATTCTCTCTTCTCACGTAGGGGATTCAATGCATGTATGGGATTCAACGTGGAAATAGTTGGACTCCAAAACATTTTCCTTAGAGTCGACTCGGCTTTGTATCACAACAAAACAAGAAATCATACAATGCAGAATCAAGAAATTGCGAGCCTGCCTCAAGAAAAATTCCTGATTATCCGCCTTTGATTCGTCTGAAATTGAAATAATATTAAAGTTAATAGAAACTTAAGACATTATAAATGCAGAATCAAATACTAACATAGAACCTAGACTTTTAAATTTGACACTATTTTCTATCAGACCCAGACGAGTCTCGTATGATCAAGTTTCCATACAGAAAAACAGCAGTAATTTAGCAGTGTCAGTGACAAACTCCTACTAAATAAAATGTCCACCTTACTACAAAATGCGTCTTGTTTTTTGATAAACATTCAATTCAACCGATAATAACAGTGAAAATGTATCGAAAATAAGCCCCGTTGCAGCTGAAAGGACAGCAACTTAACCTTTCGGCTTCGTTTTCTGCTCATCCCCTTTCGGAATTTCCTTCTTTTCCTTGGGATGAAAGTTCTCATAACCTGCAACACCAAAAGCAACAAAAGCACATACTCAATCAAACCACTATATTTCTCCACAAATCACAGCAATTATTATATTCATTTAGCTGAAACAAAAATAACTAGCAAACCCACAATACAAGGTAAAAAAAAAAAAAAAACTGCAAATTGCTTACTCTTTTTCTTTGGGGTTTCACTCGAATTCTACCACCAAAACAAAACAAAAACTTAAACCAAATTCTACCACCAAAACAAAAACCCAAAAACTTAAACCAAAAATTAAATTAAATTAAAAATCGAAAAAAAAGAGATTGGGAAGCTTACCCTGAAGCGAGAAGATCGAGAAACGGAGCGACCAATCCGAGAAAAAATCATTACTTTGATGTCTCAGGCGGGGAGAGAGACTGAAATTTTGCTTCCGAGAATCGTTGAGAGCCAATGGAAACTTACTTCTCGAGCTGATTCGATGAACCCATTTCGAAAAATCCGATTTTTCTTTGTTTTTTTCTTTTCGTTTCGTTAAATTAGTTTGTGCGTAATTCCTTTTTGGTCAAATGATATCCATTAATTTTAACACAGGGACTTTGAGGTGCCTGGGACGGACGGCAAATGCTGGCAAAATCCGATACCGAACTGAGAGTTCTATGCACGACGGCTATGGGATTGGAAAACTCCTACAAATTCCATATGGGTTTTTAAGGATTTCTAGATGGATTTATAAGGATTTCTGTTGATTTGGTTTATGATT